GGTATGACGTGAAGACAGAACACGGGGCACAACTGTCCCGTAAAGAGGAGGGCGATGGACACGGATCAGTCAGAGGCAGCTATGGTTACAGAGATGATAAAGGCATTGAACGACGAGTTGATTATGTGGCAGACAAGGGAGGCTTTAGAGCTGTGGTCAAAACAAATGAGCCTGGTACTGCCAAGAGTAATCCTGCTGATGTTGAAATGTTAGCCGACCCTATGATTGTTGAGTGGTCTAAATGGTCACGACCTCAACAAAATGATAGACACCAACTTTGGTGATAATTTCAATATTGCTAAATATGATTTGTCTATTAAATTATTCAATATTATATACAGTTTATTTATATGTAGTTATGTAAAATCTTTATATTATTTATATGTATGTAGTTTATTTAATAATAATATAAATGTATAATTAATTACATATTTGTTTCTATTTAAATGATTGGATTATAAATGTTTTTATAAATTAGTGATTTTACAAATAAAACATAAGCACATCTGTTAATAATTTTGTAATTCATTTTTATCGGATTAAAAAAATTATTTGAACAGATTTATCAATTAAAGCATATGTTAAGCAAAAACATAAAAATTATACCCAGTTAAATTGAAGCTAGATAATTTTAAAGCGTTTTTGAATACAAATATACCAAGTTATAATTTGTTGTATATTTAATATATTTTGGAATTATCAACTTCTACAAATATTTTACTAGGCACATTTTCCGTCAATTTTTACATTTTACGGAAAATTATTTTTAATGTTTTTTTTAAAACGCAAATCTTAAGACATTTAAATCACTTTTTTATTTAAAAAACAATATTTTAAAGATAATTTTGAAAAATAAAATTTTCCGTGAAAATGTAAAAATTGACGGAAAAAGTGATGGGCCCCACTATACGGGGCCTACATGTGATCGGCGTTAGGCCGCACCAACTACCGCCTGGATGAATGTTTTGCTGGGGCCTTTTAAAGTCAGGGACCCTTTAGTATGTGCCATTTAACTATATTAATCCAACAAATACTAGCGTATAATTTAATTTACGGTAAATTTAAAGATGTATAAATATTGTTAACTAATACAATATTGTACTTCATTATAAATTAATACTAAATTTACAAACTTGTAAGGTTTAATTAAAGCTAAAATATATTTCAAAAATTAATATCTCATGCAATTAATACTATGGATTTCCAATATTGTACAATGTTGTTTAAAAGTATAAAAAATATAATATACACTATCATTAAGAAAAGATAAAGTGCTGTTCAATATTAAATCAAAATAATGTTTTTATTTGTTTGATTTAAATTAAATAATCTTGATAATAATTTAAATAAATTAATGTGAATTACACAATAATTGATTATTAAGCAAATAATTAAAAATGACGAGTAATCATAATAAATTTTGTTAAATAATCATAAACTAAATTACGTCAAATTTAGTATTAAAATGCTGAGTTTTGTGTTAATTTTACATTTAAAGCAGTTTAATTAAAATTGTAAATAATATTAAAATTAAATATAAATGGTAAACTACAAAAGTATTCAAATTGTTTAAATGTCGTGTAAATGTTTGTTGTTTAAATAAATTTGTAACAGTAATCTCCAATTTTAAATGTTTGCAACGAATGTAAAATCAATTTCCGGTCGATTTAATGGATAATTTTGCTGATTTGTTATATATATAATGATAAGAAGATATATTCTAATATTTGATGAATAAATGAATGTAAAATGTAATTTAAAAATGAATTTTGTTAGCTGTCTATCGGTTTTGATTTTGGCATCATTGGTTTTAATTCCTGTATATTCGGGTATTATTTATTATTTACTATATTGTATATTGTACATTGTTTAATTGTTTGTTTTTATTGGTGCCTAATTGCAGAATTGCTTTCCAATGAGACCTCAGCAGTTCCTCAATGGGCAGCACCACAGCTTCCACCTCAACCTCAACCTCAACCACAAATACAATCTCTAGACACAAGAGAGGTCAGAGGTTTAAGTAGCAACAATTCAAGTTAGTAATATTTTTTCACTGTTACAAAAACAGTTTATTATGTCACAATTATGTTAATAATTTTAAAATAATAACTCGAACTTCTAGTGTATATATTATAAAAACTTAATATTTGTTGATAACCTAATAACGATAACTATAATCTAAAATTATTTTAAAATACAAAATTAGAATTTACTTATGAATATAAATATTAATGTACATAATTATATAATTATATAATGTATATAATTACATCTATATATTGTACTGTATATACTATGATTGCTGCGAAGCTATTTATAACTTGACGTGGTTATTGCATTACCTTGATAATTTATAACACATTATTCACTAATACCGTTACACTTATTATAGTCATCGAGTGCCCTGTTTTGATATAATGAGTATAAATGTTTTAATTTAAACCCCCACTTTTTTATATGAGTATTACACTATATATGAGTAAAACATGCATAGAGTATAAATTACATAGCAATATAATTGCCTTGGAGCTGCCCTGAGACATACATAGTATATACTGTAGTAGGTCTTGTATGCATTTTATTGTAAATATAAAATTTGTAAATGAAATAAGTAAATTTTACATAATCCATACTATAATTCAATGACGATAAATGGGTTGACATTAGCGCCAGCATATGTTGGAGGAGCCAATAGAAATGGTAATATAAAACGAAACAATATTATATTAATTACAATACGGTCAAAATAAATATATTTTGTCTACTGTTAGCTTTTTATCGAGGTTACGCACCGCCGGGTGGTTATAACATTCCCCCTCAACCATATGTGATGAATAACTATGGATATAATGGACACAATTATGTGCCAAATAATGGATATGGAGGTAATGGATATGGAAATAATGGCGGCTATGGAGTTCCTGGGATTAAACCAGGTTTGTGTACTAAACATTCATCATATTAAAAATAAGATTTGCAATAATTTAAACTTAATTCAATTAAATTTCTTTAATATTTTATTTATTACAATTATATTTGTTAATCATACTTTAAAGTAATGTCGTGTCATTGTTATATGCCTTAAATTAATATTAGTTAGAAGTTTGTTTGATGATACATTAATGAATTGAATATAATTGCTTCAAAGAAATAATAAATCTAATAATCGGTGCACTTTTTGATGAGAAGAACTGCGACGGAAAGAATAAATCCAATTTTACGGCTCTTATCCTCTTTGACAAGTTCGTTCATTTTTGAAATTAATTATTTGTTATAATCATATAAATTTCTAAATTTGATTTAAGATACAAGTTTTGTTACAAACAATCAATTGTTGACAACACTGTAAATACTGTAACTGAAAGAATAGCAAATCAATTGATTGTTAATAAATTACAAATTTTGTTTCCTTTGGTTAACCGTAAAGGAGGTTAGTTTACATTTAAAATGCAAGTAATATTGGTGAATGAATGATAATTAACAATGATAATGACAAATGTAGGGCTCACTGTAGTGGATGTGTTGGCTTTTGTGATTCGAGGACCCAATTCATTGGAAGGCAAATACGTTTACATCAGAATAGTTTTCAAAGAATCACAAATCGGCCGAAAATGTTTTGGATATTTGGATACAAGTAATATAAAAGTAGATAACGTAATGCTATTGGTGGCCGACTTGGATCAGGAAAAGCTAGTCGGCTGTTTTGCTGTCCCATCCGGTTGTTTCGATACGTTCAGAGCCATCGCAACCACTATATGTCACGGCATTGCTTTTGTCGCCTAAATTTCAATCAAACAATTAACACATCGATTACTTTTTATTAAATAGATATTCTTGCAATTTATTTGATATGCAGTTTTTTATGGTTAAACATTTAAACTACATATCGAAAAGTGCTTTATATTTTAATGCATTGTTTGCTATGATTGTCAAAAAATTAATGTGAATTAAACAATCAATTAATTTAGGATTACTTAAATTTAATACGATAATTGAACAAAAAAGGCTAAATATTTTAAATTACTAATCAATGTACTAATAATTTTATTTCATTAATATAACAATTATTCTCAGTATAGTAATCGTAATTAAGAATTATTAAATGGTTTAATCCAGGGCCAATATTCCGGCTCCGGTTTACTGCTATCAGGTAATTGGCCAGATTGAGAGCCCCATGTAGGATTAGGTTCTGAAATGGAGACAGGTTCATTTGGTTGATTACCATACTGAGGCTGTGGCCAGGGCCATATTTCTGGCTTAGGTGTAGGTCGGGTCGGTCTAATCGGTCGCGTAGGTGTGAGTATGGGTGGCGTTGGTCTGGTGCGCGACACTGTTGTTATGGGCAGTGTTGTAGTTAAGGGACCCATAGGGACAGTTGTGGGCTGTATTGTAGTCACTGGAATAGACTGTGTTGTGGGCGGAGCTATTGTATTCAAACCCAATGTTGTTTGAGGGGCTAATGTTTGCGGAAAATTAGTGGTCAAAAAAGATATGGTCGTTTTAAACATAGTTGTCAACGGGGGTGATAAGGTTGTCGGCGCCACAGTTTCCAGAGGCGGTCGTGTCGTCTTCATAACCGGTGTTGTGGGCGCTATTGTAGAGAGTGGTACACCAGGTATACCAGTGGTTACCGGTCCTACCGGTGGGCCAGTTGTGCCAAAAACAATTGTTGATTGTTGTGGTATTGCTGTCGAAGCTAACACGATAGGTGTATTTGTAGTGAGTGGTCCATCAGTATTAGGAGGTACAGTAGTTGGAGGGCTCGTACCAGAAGGCAGTGTTGTACCAGAAGGCAATGTATTGGGAGGGCTTGTTATTGGGGGTGTTGTAGGAACAATGGTTTGTGGAACACTAGTGGTTGGCAGTCGGCTAATAGGAGGGAATGTGGTTAACAATATTAATGTTGTCGGTGCTATTGTTTGAGGGAAAGTAGTGGTCGGAGCGATAGTGTTGGGAAAGGCTGTTGTAGGAAAAGTCGGACGAGTAGGTGGTTTGGACCACGTTTCAGGATATGGGGGCAAAATAATATGCGGCGGTTCTGGGTTAGGATTGTGCCATTGATGGTGTGGGTTGTGTTGATGAACTGGCTCATTTTGAGGATAAACTCCCCCATGACTCCCATTCCAATGATTTTGTGGTTTATGCAAACCGATGCCAATTATAGATTCTGGATCTGGTAGTGGCTCTCCTATTATTAGTGGCAATTCTGGGTGTGAATAGTTGTAATTATTGAGTGGTCGGAGCCCCACATAATTCCTATGAGGCAACACAAGTGCTGGGATTGAGGGCTCATTATTGAATTTAGAGTGGTTTGCTTCTGACCCCCACTCCAACTGATGGCTGTTTGTGGTGACAGTAGAGCCGGTGTTTGGTGTGATAACATGTGTCGTAGAGTTGTCTAAAGAATACTGATTGTTGTCATTATTGATGATATGATGTGAAGGCAACCAAATTCTGTGAATTGATCCGTCATTTGTGGATTTAGTGCTAAATTCATTGATTTTATTCGTTGCAATATATTGTGAGAATTGTGTTATTAATAGATAAATAAGTAACAAAAATGCATTCATTTGAAAAAATTATTTCGATTATATTATAATAAAAAAATTTTAAAAAATTAAAAAGGTTTTGGAAAATACAAAATATGATATAAAAAGTTTTGAGTTTGAGTTAAGTATTTGAGAATTAGAATTAAACGACAATTATTACAATCTGCTAAAAATCAACAGATGATTAGTACTAATAGAATAATACTTTAAATTATGAGTTCAACGGAGTTCATATAATTTTACACAATATATTGTAACATAATATACAATACACTATTCCACCGATTTTATCCACTATTCACTAATGAATTGAAGTAAGAAAGATGTGGTATAATAAAGTTGCTCATCAAACATGACCATCTCCGTTAGGACATCAAACCAACATCAATATTAAATAAAAATTACTATATGAGATATTTGAAAAAATAGTAAAATATTTATATTTGAAAAGCCATTTTGTAACCTAATTTCCTGAATAAGTACTATATTGTTTTTTTGTTACAAATAATATAATATCATAAAATATAAATAAACTTGAATTAATTTAAAGAGAATTATTTTTTAATGAATTACATAACATATTAAATGAATACATATATTAAACACATAAAAAACCGTTATTTAAAAAGATCAAAATTTCAATGTCAACACAATGTTACTCCTCATCAATGGGTAGTATAAAAGTTTTTGCACTATTTTGTTGTTTGTTTCCAACTTTATGTGGTTTAGGCTTATGCTGTGCCACAATCGATGGCAATTTCGGAGGCTTTATTGCCACAACATTTGGGGGCTTTGGTCCACCCCATGGCCATCCATGTTCTGGCCACGGGTGATGGTGTTCCGGTTCAGGCTGGGGGGCGGCTGTTGTTATTATTGGAGGGGCAGTTGTTACTACCGGTGGAACAGTTGTCGCTAACGGTGGGGCAGTTGTAACCACGGGTGGAGCAGTTGTGACCACCGGTGGAGCAGTTGTTACCACAACTGGTGGGGCAGTTGTTATCAGCGGTGGGGCAGTTGTAACCACCACGGGTGGGGCAGTTGTTACCACTACAGGCGGAGCAGTTGTTACAACCACTGGTGGAGCAGTTGTTACAACCACTGGTGGGGCAGTTGTTATAACGGGTGGGAGAGTTGTGACCGGCGGTGAAGGGGCTGCTGTTACGGCTGATGAAGCATTTGTATCAATATTAATATTGATGTTTGAATTGCCACCGTTGCCGCCATTACCACCGTTGCCTCCATTGCCAGCGTCACCATTGGTGGCGTTTCCTCCGGGGCCTCCTTCCGCACCATTGCCTCCATTACTGGCATTAATATTAATATTGTTATCGCGATCTAATTGGTTGGACACATGTTCAGCGTTAGTCTCTTCTTCTCGTTGAGTGTCGAAAGCGTTTACAAACAAATGATTACAAGTAATGAGAATTAAAGCCCAAATAA